TCGAACTAGTGAAGTTTAGGAATGTTTTATTTCGGTTAGAAATTCAATATTTACTTAACTCGAAAGGTAGATAAGTTATATATTTTAATATGGGTTTCGACCGAAAGAGCTTTAAAGGCTCTCTTATGCATACTTTGCATTACGATGCATAGATAGACATTGCTTGTGAAACTAGTGGTGATTATACTTTACGCAGGGCATACATATCTTTCTACCAACAACAGCACATATTTCGCCGCGCCAGTTTCTCCCTCTCCCGTTCTCACTGCTCAATCGTATGTCAATTTTACGCAGAAATCAAAAATCAAGAGACTTCTATGTTTTATTATGCAATGCTAATTATGCATAACTGTGCCTTAGGAAAGATTTATTTCAAGAGTATTATTGAAAATGGGTGCCACTTATTAAGACATTCGGAAACAAATTTATTAAGTTGATAGGAATGTCAAAGGAGCGAGGTTTGTGGGCATTGTTTCTAAAATATTTTTTAAAGAGTTGCAAGAAACTTAAAGGTTCGAGCTTTATTTTTAATGAGATGTTAAGTGAAACATTACAACGCTCGTGTCGAAGGAAAGAAGATACAAAAAATTATTTGTATCTTACATATTTACAAGAAATTAGTTTGAAAGCTTCTCATAAAAGACCTGGCACATTTTTAAAATGTGTTAAATCAACTTTTTCCAATTATGTTTAATAAATAAAAATAAAAATTGAGCCTTGATATGAAACTAAAATTACATTCTTACATATAAAGACTACACAGGTTTACAAAAAAAAGCTTATGCATATTAAACCAAGCCTACATATCCCTATGTTATTCTCCTCCACGTCAGGTCCGTGGTCAGTTGAAGGTCAAGTAGGGAAAAAATTCATTAAATAAACCTGAAAATTCATATACATAAGGCTTTACATTCGCTGAACCCGAATCCGAGGTCCGTTAACCTCCATATTGCCAGCTTCGAGGACATTTGAAGGTCAAATAGGACATAAAATTTATTCAATAAAAAAAAAAATAAAAAATTGTCCAGATATAATTTTCATCTCAGAAGTCCCAGAAAAGGCATATACATTCGCTGAACCCGAATCCGAGATCCGTTAACCTCCATAATCCCAGCTTCGAGGTCATTTGAAGGTCAAATAGGACATAAAATTTATTCAATAAAAAAAAAATAAAAAATTGTCCAGATATAATTTTCATCTCAGAAGTCCCAGAAAAGGCATGGCTCGATTAACATAACTAAATGAGTAAGAGCATCAAAATGATCAGCATAACTGTATTGCATTCGGTGCAACAGACTTATGAGCAGCTGTAGCATTCAACAGCATAACCGCCGTTAAAAAAAAAGCTAGTGTTTCATAATTCTCGATTTCAAGGAAAAATTTCGGCGATATCGGCTCACGTAAAATATTTTTTCCTCCTACATACCTCCCTATAGTCGAAACATTGTGCGCATTTCCTCCGTAGAAAGTATGTACGACAAGTTTTTTATATGTATGGAAAAATATGCACACCAACATTTTTTTAAATTCTTCAATAACTGCTTCAAACAAGTTAAAAAAGTCGTGCACGAAAGCAAACAGACAATATTAAAACCACGTTTTATTTACATACATATATATCTTTTGGGTGCTTTATTTTATACACATACATATGTATGCATATACTTTTTCTGCCACTACAAGCAAAAAAAAGCCGAACCAATGAAAAGCTCGCATTCATTGTAAAAACTAAAACGAAATGTTTAATAGATTTTTATTAAATATCACTTAGTTCATTTTTCCTTGCACTTTTAGAATGACTGCATTTGGCTTTTTTGGGTTAAGTGCGAAAAAATGCAGCTTCTAAACACGAAATTTATATGTCGTTTTGAAAATTCATAAAGATTTTGCCAGATAGTATGTAGATTCTGTCAAGTACATACTCGTGCAATATTAACTCGTAAATAAAAGTAAACACCTGCATATACATATTCATACAGTGACTCAAACAAGTGGCAATATGCTAACTTGTTTTAAATATTCACAGTGTTTTTCAACTTAATTTTTTTGTTGTATTTTTTTAACGACAAAGGTTAGGGGGCCGTTCCAAATTGTGGTATCACAAAGGACAATCTTACATTGTCTAAGTGAGCCCCGGTTACACGGGGCTGCCACCTTACCTAACCTAACCTATAAAAAATTGTCTAAGCTTTAACAAAAACCATATCAAATAAGTTTCCAAATTAAAACAAAATTACAAAAATTTAAAAAATTTGCATCACAATTTCAAAGTTTTTAATCTGAACTTTTAGTAGATTTTTCGGTATGCAGTTTTATAGCTCATAAAATTTTATTTTAACGAAGTGCAGGTTCAAAAAATTGCGTTGATTTTTAATATTTTTTTTTGCTGGTGGATTTTTACACTGTTTTCCATATAAGCATGAACGCCAGTTTTTGCAAATTGCACTTTTTGTAAAAAAAAAAACGCAAAAGCAATCACACAAAAAAAATACTAAAAATCAACGCGATTTGTTAGCCGGTTGAAACTTTCATTTCATTACAATAAAATTGTGTGGGTTATGAAAGTGCCAAAAGCGTTATAAAAATTTAGAATAATAACTTCTAAATTTTAATGCAAATTTATTTAAATTTTCGCAAGTTTACTTCATTAGACTAGAATTTGAATTTTCATAAATTTCGAATAAAGTTTGAAACTGTTATTAACTTGGTTTTTGTTAAAGCTTGGACAATATTTTTATAGAAAAATAACAAAAAAGAAAAAATAACTTGAAAAAACAAAATCAATACGTGGTCTCTTATTTAATAAGTTATTGTATGTATGTAAGGCCACAATCGTGTACATGCGTGAATATAAATATGTTATTTTTGCGTGCATTTGTACTCTTGCATTTGATAGCTTTTTGTTTTGAGTAGCTGTTTACACATTTATATCAAGCAAAAACAAACAAAAAATTGCTATTAATAATACTTTAAATAAAGTTTAAATTTGAAAAATTGTGAGAAGATAACAAGCCGAAATTTAGGAATAATTATGCGAACACTTGAAATTGCCTTTTTTTTTTTAATTACTCCAAATAACAAACTTGATTTTACTTTCTTTTTCAAAACTGTGAGTTTTTTCAATATCATCGGAAAGGTTGCCGAAAAGATGTACATACATACATACTCATATGTAATTTTCATTTAAAAAATAGTTATCAATCCACCAATTCTTAATTTCGCTTCTCATAAATCCGAAGAAGAAATCAAATTTTATTGCAGTTTTTCTATGAACAAACGTTGAAATTGTTAGTCCGTGGAATGAGTTGAAGTATAGCTTTTACCTACTTAAATACAATTACTGCAATTTTTATGAAATTTTCCAAGTCAAAACACAACAAATTGAATGAATATTAAATGCTTTCAATGTAATTTCAGTGAAAAACTTACAACATTCAGATAAAAAGGCAAAATTTGCTGCTGATTTCAGGGACTTGACTGTTGGGAATGGAATTTTTCACGACACGTGGTTTTCGACGTATGGATGTATGTAAATATGTAAACGAAAGAAAGAAAAATTTTCATTATTACAGGCTTTGATTTCAGTTGAAAAATAAATATATGCTTATCCGTGTCAGAGATTGGCAATATGTACTTCCCAGAATTCAAATATTCTAAAGTTATATAAGTTAAATATTCGAGTTAAAAACTGAGTAAAGGTATGACTTGCGAAAGAAGTTGTGTTGATTGCTGTGAGAGTTAGAGAGTGGATGACTCGTAATATCCAGGGCCGAAGAAAGTAAGCAAGAAGATATCCATTTTAAGCGCTTAGATAAGCACTAAAATATTGGTAAATATGCCTGCAAATATGCTCGCAAAACAACAAAGTTTAGTGTAGAGTTTAATGTTTTTTATTTCGTTTATTTCAAGGATTAAACAATTACAATTGACAATCAAGTGTTGTCTGATATTCTCAGATAATAGGGATCTGCGCTGATCGTTTTAATTTTTTAAATATTCGTTATTCTTCATTTGAGATAAATTGTTTTTAATCTTTTCAATAAGCCCAATGCCTTCCGGTAGAGACAAACCATTGGTTTAAAATTTTTGTATCCAAGCAGAAATGCAATTGAAGGTTCGGGTGAAAAAAATTGCGACGACTAAAAAAACGCCAAACGCCAAATGGTAAAGACAAATTTATTGAGCCAAATTTTCTTAAGGAGTGCGATGTTCTTTAGAAATTTGCTACGCTTTCTACTATGGTTTGCTAAAGTTTGTATGTGAAGAGTACCTCTGTTTTCAACAGAAATATATGCACGTTCCATTATCATGAAATGCGTGAGCTGGACAAGGACAAGAAGGAAAAAACATGCCTTTTTATAGGTTTGAGTGTAACATCACACCCATTTTGCACCGGGGAGACAGAAACGAAATCACCATAAGTCAAACTGGTCCATGAATGGAGTTAGTTACGCCAAACAATTTGAGTATGATTTGCTCACTTTATTAGGTTCTGGCTTGGAGAGTTTGAGAAGTGCTTAAAAGTATCTACAGAGACTGATTAACTCAGCGAGAGAGGAGACCAGTATGTTTGCATGTATGTATTTATTTAAAAAAATATTTATTTTAGCAACTCTAAATGATTATAAGTCATGCAGAGTCCGCAAAATGTCCCGGATGCTTTGTCCAGAGGATGCGTGAAACAACACTGACCATACATTAAACGGCCATCAAATTAGAACTTAGGAAAGTTTCATTACATGGCAGTTGAGAAGTGCACGTGCAAAAAGTTCATAAATTTAATGAAGGATGTGCAAACATTTCAAAAATTTAATGAAGGAAATATTTGCACATGCCGAAGTACATAGCATGCATTTAGGCGTCTGTTGTTAGTGCCTGCGAATGCAAATATGTATTAAGGCATCTTACGTTGTATACTTTTAGGCACCTCACAGTTCCTTAACATTTTATATTACTTATGTCTTAATTCAATCCTCTTGCTTCCTTTTATTTCATTTCAGCACATTCACGCAGCTAACTTTTTGGTCCCGCAAATGCCAGAGCGTGGTTTACGAAAAAACAACGATTTCTTGCACACACTCATACCTAAAGGATCTAAAGAAAGATAAAGGAAATAAAAAAGTAATTAAATAATTAGTAAACTTAGTTAAATAATTTAGCGCCAAGTAATATAGAAACAACTAATTAAGCCGGTTTCTTAAAGCGTCAAGTAAACTTAGAAATAATAGTGCAAAATAAAGACTACATTTTCGAAGATCTAAACAAATACACACAACTAAACGATGCTGTAAAAATTGTGTTCCCACATAGGAAATAAAAAGAAGAAACAGAAGGGCGAGAAAAAAGATATTAGATTTCTAGAATCTTAAGAATCTAAATGAAATAAAATATTAGTAAAAAATAAAAGAATAGAATAAAAGATATTTAAAATTAAGGACTTCAAAGCTCAAAAACTATTCGTTTGTTACGCACGAACGTATGCGCGAACGCTTCTAAATCAAACATAGCTAATGAGTTACGCTTATAACGTTTTTACGGCACGCGCGACGCATATAACGGTTGAGATAAAAAAAAAGCGCACGCCTTATAATTAATTCATAACGACGCGCGTCGCGAGCAAATATTCGTTTAAAAAAATAAATCGGATCCAACGGCCCCGGAAAACGGAAATAAAGCAGAAATCGCGAAGGGATAGGTAACTTCTGTTTAGCGCGCAGTTTGGCACCCACTAAGTGATAGTCTTCGACAAGCAATGCGTTAAAGTTAGTACGGAGCACGAAAGAAATATTAAGCGGAACGAAAGAAAATCCACAAAACGATAAGAGCGTATAAAAGAAACAATTATAATAAGACAAACAAAAGAAAGGAAGCAGCAGTTAGACAGTGTAAGCAATTGGGACACGCAGCTGCAGCCAAGTGGAACAAATTTGAAGGCAGCAAATCAAATACTTGCCGTGCTGGCTGCCAAAGTTGGGAAGAAACGAAGCTGCAGTCACCGTAAAACCAAATAACCGCAGTACGTCTGAGACCACAAGAAGTTGTTAGGCTAAAGTAAATAGCAGCGGCAAGTTAAATCAAAAGTCATAGTGCAGACACGAGCGGCGCGCCGTGTACTGTAAGTAGCAGCTGCTGAGAGGAGGCAGAGAACAGTTCGCCACGAACGAATACATTTGCGCTGCCACAAAACTACCGCCACAGTGTCAACGAAGCGCTGATATGCTAACTACATAAGCCCTCACAGCACCCTCACACTCACACACACAATTTTAAGGGCGCCCTGCTATCTTCCACCGCAGTTATATAAATAATATTTTCGTCTCATCAACTAGTAGAGTTGAGAAGCTTTGGAACATCCGCTGAATCGCAAGCGCCTACTTTCCACGCGGGCGTAGCCGAAAAAAGGCGACACATCCCCAACGCTGTTAAGCGCAGGGAGTCAAAACGCAAGCAATATTCAAAGCGTGAAACAACAGCGCGCTGCTGCAACGCGCCACGCTAATTGGACAAGCAAAGTCAAGTGAAGTGTGGTTGAAACGGAGAACGGAGAAGCGCCTGCTGCCACCACGCCGCGTTGACGCGTCTACTCTCGGCACAGCTACCCACTCGAACACACAATTGCGTCGCCGATTTGTTAGCTTTGTTGCAGCTGTTGTGTAAACTGTCCGCTGCTGTGTGGAAAAGCGCGCAACATTCACTTGCCCCCGTCCATCCTCTCTTTCCGCATCCGCTACCGCCATCGCTGTGTAATTGGCGCGTATATTGATTAAGTCACAAGTGTCGCGCGGCTCCCAGCGACAATCGTCTTCAGTGTTTCACCGCGTGTGCTGTGCTGCGCTGCGCTGCGTCTAACCCCACACTACGCCATATCAATCGGGGTGATAACCGGCTTGTATTGACATTTGTGGTTATTTATACATTAGTCCCAACGCTGCTGGTGTGCTTCCATTTACACGTCCATTTACGTGTGCTATTGTCTGTTACGTGTCCCCCGCCGAAACCGAATTTAACGCACCTGAGTCCGAGTCCGTGTCCGCGTGCGCGTTCAAATCTACATTCGTTTCCTTGCCTCAATCGCCAAATTGTTGTCGCACGCGGTATCATTCGTCTTAAGCGTGCAAGTCAATCATCATTTGTGTTGTGAGTGAACATCGTTTGTCTCGTTGCATCGCGCCATCAAAGAGTAAACGATTTCGCAAAATTCACCAGCAACGCACCTCAATCCCAACCCAGCCCACCTGTGCACCTGTAACTGCTAGTAATTGTACTGAATCAACAACGACTCCTACTACTATATACCCGCCCGCCCGCAACATCGACAATAGTTGTACGTGTTTTTGTACGATAGCTGAAAGCCAAGGACATGGACCCGTCGCTGCTTGTCGTGTTGATCTTTCTTGTGATAATTAAAGGTGAGTCAACACAAATTTTGACTTTTAAATAGCCACTGGGGTGACTAGGTATAATTGAGTGTTTGTTCAAATGGGGTTGGTCGGTCATTCACGATTCACGATGGTTTCAGTGTTATTGAGTTATTTGCGGATACACCTGCTGGTTGACAAGGTTGTTACTTTGTTTGTCAATGGACCCTCGCGGTTGGAAATCACAAAAATAATTGGCTACGATTTGGACAATGTTAGCTAATAATTTGTGTCTTTTATTGAAGTGAATGAAATTATTATTAAAATTGTCAATAAAGACCTTAGATTTCTGATTCTTGCAAAGGTTAGGCTAAGTGTGGTGATCTTGTCTGGTTTAGGAGAAAATAATATTTAGCCTAGGCTTTTGCTTAAAATAAATTGACTGAACACAAGGGTGTCGACTAAGCCAAGTACTTTTCATTGTTTCCCATCGGGAATCAGTTCCTCGATGGAGGACGGCAAAACGTTAGCTCCGGCTGTTTTGATGGCCTAGAGAGAAGAAGTGACTAGCAAGATACTCCGCGGCCCGCAAAACTCTCGTGGTAGGGTCACAAGATAAGCATACCAGGTACCCTATAGAGGCGCCACCTTCCTTATTTGAATGTAACATTAGGCGAGTCGAAGTTGTAACAACGAAGTGAATGACTTCTAAAGATCAGACGGTATCCGAGATACTCAATCGCAAATAAGAAAGAAAATATCCATCTGAGAGTTCATGTAAACCCTAAACCGCTAATAGGCGCCAGTCCCATTTGGTGAAACCCAAAACCACAGTATGCTAGTTGATCGGAAATTTTCGTTAACCTAAAAATCTCCGTTTTCTGGTAACCCCATAACTTCCAGATTTTTTTTCTTCGCTCCAGCATTTAACGGTTAGTGTCCTAACAAGTAATTGGTGACAGCAAGCCATAAAAGGCCGGTGAGAAGATAACGAACCCTGCACAACCGTGACCTCTTATTTTAATGCTCAAATCGTCCCATTTTCAAATACCGGTACCCTATGGAAAGTGCAGTAAGGTTGTCCTCATAAGTAAGGCTGTGCAAGAGTGCTTCAAAAGATTAATTTTGGGTTAGGTAGAAGTCCATATCGTCGTGTTGTCTGTAAATCCGGAATTAGTTAAAAACTCCAACGTCTGTTAAAGTCGATATGGGGATCGAAATTCAAGGCCGTATTATTTAAATTTTGCGCTCCTTACGGTATGATGCTTTCCACTTCACTTTCGAACAGTCCTCTGCGTTCTTGCTTAGGACCCCGACATTTAGCCTCAACTTGTGTAATCCTGCTTGAGGTAATTCTGCAGCTGCAGACACAAATTTTGGACATTTCACGTAATTGTCCAACCATCTGGTGTAGTAACTTCAGACCGGAAACCAAGCGGCGAAGTATTCGCTTAAAGGCCTTAATCACAGAGCGAAAGACTTTTATAGTACTATAGCACTTTTAGCGACCTTAACACTTATTTCGTATGCTCTGCGACAGACCTTTCGCGTTTCTATTCAAGTTTCAAGCTCTCTGTAGCGTTTTTTTAGCAGAGGTATTCGCCTTCAAAGAAGGATTCGATTGGCACTACACAAAGCTAATAATATAACACCAGATCTCTCAGTTGCGTCTAATTATTTTATAGTCAAACTTATATGCGTACCAGACCATAATGATATTGCGGAAACTTCAACAATAGTCGAGCTGGTCAACAGACACATCCCTGGTCGCATCGAAAAATTAAAGTGTGGGAGCGCCATTTATTTACTACGTGCGGATTGTTTTTGGATAAATAGTTGTGATATTATCTCGTGCGGTAACCCGAAGATGTGCATCATCATGGTCTTTTTTATCGAGAGTGTTGCAGAGTCAGTCAAGGGATTTTCTTCGGCTCAAAAATCCGCTGCTGTTTAGAGGATACTCAGGGGGAGTCATTTCCACACTTTGTCTTAAGCTACCTAACCTTTGAAAGGCTAGGGCTCTTTCTTTTTTACTAGTCCCAGGAAGCTCTGCAGAACTGATATCTGCCACTTGCAAAACTTCGTTCTTTCGATTAAGCTGTTCGTTGTTGTGTGAAAGAGGATTGATGGTTATTACCCGAGTGTGACCTGCTTGAGATGACCTTATTTAAACACTATCAAGCACTATTTGCATTGGAATAACACTTTTACTCCCTTCCATAGCGTTAGTGTAGAACTGAGAATTGGTCTATGTAATGCTGGGCATTGTCTTAAAACGACCGGGGGGACTACCGGGGAAATTGCTCAAAGCACTCTACCAACCTTCATACTACACGGGGCAGATATTTTATGCACATGTCGGGATTTATTAGCTTCTAGTTGCAAAAAGGTAAAACTGATACTTGTGGGGTTTTTTTCAAAAATTACGACGCAATGGTTGCTGTGGCTTTTATTAAAATTAAAATTGTTCAAAGTCGTGCCTAGTGCTGTCGTTTCTCACTTCGTTTTCCATACATATTTATTTTTGTTTACACAACTCCCTCGACGCCCTTGCAGCTGGGACTTGCAGCTATGAAGGCTACTTAATCATTATTCATGTTCGCTTTTGTCCTTCTGCATTCCCGATTTGTATGCTGCTTGCCTGTTTTCAATCTTTTACTTCGTGTACTTCATACCAACCAGCGCTGTTTGTCCTTCGCCTTCCTTCGCCAACTTCGGAAGTAGCGCATTTTATTCTTCTTGCTGTTGTTTGTTTAATTTTTGTTCCTTCTCATTCTCTATTCCCTCTGTTCTTCAACATTTCCTCTCGAGTGCCATTAATTTTAAAATGCGGCTGTGTGTCTGCGCCATTGGTTAATGCTCGTATCTATTGGCTTGGCTTCGGCATCGTCTCAAATGAGTAATGAAGTGCATGCGGAAAATGTTTAACTTTATTTACATTTAATTAAAATTATGATTTTTTGTTATGATACATATTTTCAGTATGTACTTAGCAGTGGCGGCTAGCGTCAAGCGGAGAGATGAGATTTTAGCATTTGAGTTTGGGTGTTCGCTCATTCCGTTGTAGGAAAATGATTTCATAGCTTTCACTAGTTAATAAAAAAAAATCTTCTGCCAAATTGTTTTAATTTACTTTTTCTTTTTATCCTTTAAAATACGAGAGCGTATTTCATTGCTATCCGAAGGCGTGTCGTGGCTGAGCGGACGCGTATATTAGTTACGGCTAGTGATTTTTTATTGCGGATTGGTGGCTATATTTTCCTGTAGCAGCTGATTGGCTAAGAATTTTTGATTTTTTAAGAAAATCAAAAAGGGGGGAAGAATATTTAATGTCTAAAATTTTAAGCGAGGCCCTAAATCTGTAACTCATGGGCCGTCGGTTTTGTATGACCGAGCCGATTTCGAAACCTTTGAAGTAGTACTTGTATGTACTTATCGATGAAATTCGACAGGATTTTCGGGTAATTATCTTGCGCTTACGTATTCGCTTTACAAGTAAATAGCACTTTTGCCAAGCTTGCCCACTATTTTGTTTCTCGGGACCAGTGTTGCCATTTTAGTTTTTCCAGCTAGATTTAGCTTTTTATTTGGGTTTAGCCGGAAAAGAACCTGTTAAGATTCTAGCTTTTTCTTAAAATTATTTAGCTTTTTATTAGCTGCAAATGTCAACGGTGCTGTGAATATATTTTACTTCTGAGAGTGCTCATTTAAAAAAATTGGACTCTAAGCTTAACCTTTTAAAATTTACTCAGGAGCGCGAAAAAGTACAATTTGCGAAGATAAAGTACAAACATATCGCACATGTTTGTATTCTCCCTTGTTAGACAACTTAAGGAAAGGTTTCCGAAGCATCGACTTTATCCGATTTCTGTGTGGTTAGACTGGGCTCGAATCGTCACATACGATATCTACGATTACTCGTCACGTAAAAACACATTTTTCAGATTATGACATACGTGAACGTACTTTTTATCCCATTCAACTTATACAACTGACGTATCAGGTAATTTTCTTTCGTATGGTTTTCCATCCGTGAACGGATGTTACAATTCGAGCCCTGGTTTTTGAACTGTTTCGCCACTAGCGTCCTCTTTAGGAATGAGCGAGCGGGAAGCAGTAGTTGCGAGACGGCATCGGTGAATTTCTACACGGATGGGTCGAAGCTAGACGAAAGTGTCGGTGGATGTTTTTTTTTGCAGGGCGCTATTCAACAACCTGTAATTTAGGCTTTTCTAGATCATTGTAAGGCTTCAGGCAGAGCTGGCATTAAGAAAGCAGTCGAATGTCTGTTAGTCTGCTCAACGTTGATAAGAGATTTTTCCTCCGTCAAATCTATTTGGCCACCAGGCCATATTGATATTGCAGGGAATCGCGTTGCGGATAAATAAGTTGGCCAGGAAAGGAAAGAGTGGGAGTAATTTCCTTTTGGTGAGTGTATTTGGAAGATACTAAACTATTGATTTTCACGCAATGGGGCCAAATATCGCACTTTCGCAGCTGTTCGAAGAACAGTGAAGTGGAATCATCTCAAAACTGTCCCCTAAGCTGCCTAGATTTTGATTTAGGCATAACTAAAATTTTGATTTAGCTTTTTTTTGGCTTTAGTTTTTTGCCCAGCCCATTAAATATGCAGCCGCTTATTCGTCGCTAGTCTTAAGTAATTTTATTTTTATTTTTGTTTGGTCATGTTGTCGTGATGTTTCCAATTTTCCAATTGGATGATCTGGAAACAAAATACAGTAAGTAAAAGGTAAAGAAAATCTCTAGCCTGTAGTTATGAAATATATTAAAAATTATCAGGAAGAGAATTAACAAATATTCTTTATTTTTTATTATTATTTTTTTTATTAAAACCTTTAGCAAAACATTAAGCTACTAGCGAGGGAAATTGATGAATAAATAGAAAAGCGATGAATAGTTAAACGAAACTCACAATGATTTATTTGTATGATACATGAACCCGCAAAAAGTTACTCATACGCCTTGTATTCATTTGATCGACCTTAATACAGTGCACGCTCGATGATGTGAACTAGTTAATTAAACCCAAG